GTGCTTGTGACAGAGGAAGGTCTGAGCTGTGCTTTGCGAGGTGGGTTTGGGTCTGCATGCCCCACCCCCCCTGCACCCCCCGCGCCTGGCAGGCAGCCGGGGACCCTGCGGTGCGGGGGTGCTCGTTCCCTCGGGGCTCATCGGGGGCATCCCGACGAGGTGAGGGCAGCGATGGGGCAGCGAAGCTCTCCAGGAGCATCTCCCCGGAGCAGACACAGCTCCCTCTGACCTCAACCAGCGAGAAAATTTCTCTCGGAGCAGTGCGGGGCACAAACAGCGATGGGTCCCTCTGCTCCTTTTCTCTGTTTCATTGCTGCATATATATATATATATAAAATAATTCTCTCTCAGAGCAATTTTGTTCGATGCCTTCGCTGGCCTCTCCGGGGGCTGCCGCATGTCCCACGCCGGGCACAGCTGCTCCCACCGCCTCTGCCGTCCCCTGCCTCTGTATCGCACACCTCCCATCCTTCTCCTGCCCTTTATTTTCCCTTCCCCTTGTTCACGCTCTCCGGTGGCAGAGCTCAGACTGCTGCAGGAGGGGGAGACGGGGACCTCCAGATCCTGGAGGTGGCTTTCTGCGCTGCCTCCTATTTTGCTGGTCCCCGTTGTCCCTTGAGGTGGGGCAAAATGATGGAGGAAGCTTTGCCCCGGCCTCCCCTCCTCCTCCTCACTTGGACATGTCTTTCCCCTGTCCCCTCCTTCCGCTTGGCAGGGAGCCCTCTTGCTTTGGGTGGGTTTGGGGCACTAGGACCAGCCCGGTTGGACAAGGTGTTGCTTCTCTTTGCAGAAGCAGCTTGAGGGCTTTGGTGGTTCAACAGGAGACAAAATAAAGCAGAAAAGCACCCAACGGGTCACAGGTGGTGAAATTCTCCCTCTGTCCTCAGAGGGGTCTGTAAAGCAGCTGCCTTGGGGGGATGAAGGATGCCATGGACGGAACTCACCAGGTCCTGTGTGGAGCCACCCCAGGAGGTCCATGCATGGGACAGTGGGACTTCTTCCCTTTTCTTGCTTGGCTTTTTTTCTCAGCTTATCTTGTGGCATCTCATGCCAAAGGATGTGGAGCACAGCTACCAGGAGTGCACCCTACCTTGGAGGGAGGGCAAGGAGGCTGGAGGGTGCTCAGCAGCACAGCCATGGCATCGTCACCCAAGGAGTCATCTGGAGCCCTCTGAGACCCACCTCAAGGCCCCACCAACTATGGGGGTATGGGGTGCTGCTGTGTGTGCAGGGACCTCCCTTGGAGGTACCTTGGAGATGGAGGGGTCTAGACATTTTGTAACCCACCTTTTCTCCAACTGCAGAGAGTTTGCATCTGGGAAGTGTTTAATTTGCAAAGGCCACTGCTGCTGTATCACATTTCCTGCATCGGTCTCTGTTGGTTTATGACCAGTGAAATCCTGGTGTGAAAACAGAAGCGGGCTTTGATTTCATCTGCCCCTGCTGTTTTATGCCACTAACAACTTCGCATTTCTACAGCGGCTTTTATTTTAGGAGCTAAATGGGCTTCACAGACAGGCAATTAATTAATTGAGCCTCCCCAACCAGCCTACGCCCTCAACGCCACAAGGAAGTGTTTTGCAGAGGAGGAAACAGAGGCAGAGAGGAGCAAAATGACTCGCCCCGGGTAAAGAGAAGAACTCGCTGCTGACGTGCTGCTGCCTCCGCAGCGCGGCGTTACGCTCTGCTGGTTGTGCCGTTGCTCCTGGCTGCTGTGGAGATGGTCATGGTGTCATTGCCAAACTGGTGTGGGAACTGGTCTCAATGCAGGGAGAAACCGAGGAAGGTCTTTTGGTGTTTATCAGTGACTGCCACTGATGGAGCATCTGAGCCCAAACTAACTCAAGAACCGACACCGCCTTTGACCATCCCAGCCTCCTGCTGAGGAATCTCCTGAGATCATGAAACAGTGCCAGGAGGTCCGGCCACCATTTCTCCCATTTATCCTTGCTGACCATCTCCTGTTTCTCCAGGAGGCGCTCAGGGTTTGCAAGCGAAGGTGGGTTTGGCTGAAGGGTTTGCTTTGGTCCGGGTGCGGCAATGGAACTTTGGGGATGGCCCCCAACATAGAAAAGACATCGACCTGTTGGAGCAGGTCCAGAGGAGGCCATGAAGATGATCAGAGGGCTGAAGAACCTCTCCTATGAGGACAGGCAGAGAGAGTTGGGGGCGTTCAGCCTAGAGAAGAGAAGGCTCCGGGGAGAACTTATTGCAGCCTTCCAGTCCCTAAAGGGGCTACAGGAGAGCTGGGGAGGGACTTTTCACGAGGGCATGGAGTGACAGGATGAGGGGGAATGGCTTCAAACTGGAAGAGGGGAGATTTAGATGAGATATTAGGAAGAAATTCTCCCCTGTGCGGGCGGTGAGCCCCTGGGGCAGGTTGCCCCAAGAAGCTGTGGCTGCCCCATCCCTGGAGGTGTTCAAGGCCAGGTTGGACGGGGCTTGGAGCAACCTGGGCTGGTGGGAGGTGTCCCTGCCCAGGGCAGGGGGGTGGAACGAGATGATTTTCAAGGTCCCTTCCAACCTAAACCATTCGGTGATTCTACGACCCACCATGGTGTGACGGGACAAGAGAGGGGCGATCCTCAGCTCCCCTTTCCAGGTCCTGCTCACTGACTGGTGAGCAAGACGCAGCCCTGGGAAGCTGTATGCTGCAGGCAGGATCTAGGGCACGTGGAGGAGGTGGGGGAATGTGCCTTTGCTCATGCAGAGTGAATATGTTCCTGGGGAAATTGCCTGCCTTTTATTATGAAGCCCTGCTAATGGTTTGTTGTCTACACAAATAACCATGGAGAATGAACTCGTGCACTTCCCAGTCTGCTCCATGTCTTCCTGGCTCAGCTCCTTTCTGAACAAACATAACCTTTTGCAAGAATACCTGTCAAAATTGCTTTGAAATATGGAAATAATAGGATGGGATATGGTTTGCTCCTGGGCCCTAGTGCTCATCCATCAGGACTCAGGATGTCCAAGAGACTTGTGAGCGGGATGCAAGGGAAAAACTCTGGGGAGCAGCAGAGCCTCAAAGCGCTGTGTTTGGGGAGCTCATTGCCTGGCTGGGCTGGCTCGCTGGGCTCCCACACGCTTACCGGGGGAGCAGACCCTCATGTGGCCCCAGCTTCATGTCAGTCATGGGATGAGACATGGGGGCTTGCAACTCAGCTGGAGATAATCAGAGCAAAAACGTGTCCTTTAGCCACCAGCATGGCCTGAAATTGCCTTCGTGGCCTGAACACCTCCCTCCTCCTCCTCCTCACCCCACGAGTATGGCATCGCATGTGAGTATTTTAGAGCTGGGGCAAAAAGCTATTGAGTTTTGGACAGACATTGGAGAGCAATGTCTAAGGGGCACGTGGCTGCTTGGGTGGACACCAGACATGACCACAGAGCCATCCCCTTCCCTTCCAGTCTCGGAGTCCCAAGGGCTGTTCAGAGGCTCCCCCAGATGTCCATCTCCAAATCCATTCATGTGAAATGGGAGCCAAACTGGCCCGTGAGCAGCACTGGGCCGAAGGCAGGAGGTGCTGCACTCGCTGCCTGAGGTTGTGGCCCCTTTTGGGGTTATCCATGGGAGATCTACCAGCTATGGGGTGGTGGGAATCCCAGGAATGAGGAGCAGGATCCCTGGGCCAGGGCCTGTGCCTACTGTAATAGCTCTCAATGGGAGTAAGAAGTAAATGCTTAGTGTTTTCTCCCTCAACAAAATCACCCCTCAATGATGTCCTTCTCTGGAGAGCGTGGCAGGAGGGTTTCCACTCCAACCCATCACCAACTCCTCACCCTGCAAGGTAAGGGGATAACCCACCCCTCACAGCTTGGCCTCAAGGGACATTTCACTCTCCAGAAATGTCTGTTTAGGGGGAGAGACCAATACCTTTTAATTTGCAAGAGAAATCCCATTGCTTGGTGGCACCCACTCAACCAAGAGCCCTTTGCTTCTCATCCCCTTCCCTCTTCATGGAGGTGATGGTCTCCCAGCTGGAAGAAGGTGAGAGATTCTGCTTTTCTGGGTACTTGCCTTTTTTTCTCAGTGTACTTGGAAAAGATGAGAACTTGATCACAGGCAATTGTTGGGAGAAATCAAACCCAAACACTTAGAAACCCAAACACTCAGAAGCCCAAACACTCCCCTGCCCTCCATAAATACACCCTTAACCAACCAACCAACCAACCACCACCCAACCAACCAACAAAAAAGTCCTTCAAACCGAACTCCATCTCTTTCTCTAAAATCCATGATTAAAACCTGGTACAAACAGGTGAATATAGATATATATATATATTTTTTAGTAGATGTAGTACTGTTTTTTTTTCTCCTCTCTCTTTCTCATTATACAGCAAACATTGCAAATATAGAAATTTTCTCTGTACAATTAACGACTTCGGTTTACAATGCAATGTGTGGTAAAACCGCTCAGTGAGTGAAAATGTGAACGGGCCTTCAACCGGGTAAAAGTCTAAACTGGAAGACTCCGTTTGCAAAAACAGCCCAAAGGACGGATCTCCTTCTGGTCTCTTTTTGGTTTTTGTTGCTGTTTTTGTTGCTGTTGATTTTGGAAGGGAAGGAAGGAAGAACACAAACTGTTCACAAAGAATCCACAAAATCACGGAATAGGGACTCATGCAATGCAATATTGGGAAACGCCAGACCTCAGCTCTCTGCCCGCTCTTTCTTTTCATATTCAATTTTTTCTTTTTTCTTATTTTTTTTAAAAAAATCGAAATGAAACAAAACTTTTTTTTTTCACTCCACAGTTTGTTTGCTTTGTAAAGTTTGTGTTCAAATTTGGTGCATGTCTCACCAATGTGAGGACATTTTAATATCTCACTTTATATATTATATAGAATATTTATAGATTTTCATAATTTGTTCTCTCTTTAATTTTTATTGATTCTTTTTTTTAAATTTTATTTTGTTTCAAAGACAGTCTGAATAAAAATAGCTGCTGTAGATTTCTTTTGGTCCAGTTAGTGTGTTAAGTCACGAGTTGTGTGAGGACTCAGGACTTTTGCTGGGCAGAGACGCCCTTCCAGTAGTCTAAGATGTCGTGAAGATCCTCGTCTTTGGCAAACTGGACCTTTTTGCGTAGGGCATGGCCGGCTGCCATATACTCCTCCTCGTCTTTGTGCCGCTTGCGGTTGAGTTTGAAGCGCTCCCAGATGCTGTGCGATGGTTTGCAGGTGTACTCTGGGCTGGAGGTGTAGCTCAGGTTGTGATATTGAGGCGAGAGCTGGGAATAAGCCAGGTCTCTGGGGCGAGGACGGGTCAGAGGCTCCAGGATGGAGGGCTTTCGCCCTGCCATGCTGTCGTGCTGCTCTCCTTGGTGCGAGCCGGGGTATGAGTGCCGGTGTTCGCTGTACTGACGGATCTTCTCCGCCTCTGCCCGCAGGATGGCCGCAGCCGGTGTCACAGTGAGGATGGTGTCGGTGGTGGGGGACGTCTTCTCAATGTATTTGGCTTCTGATTTGTGGCCCGATCCCTCAGAGCGGTAGGACCTGGGGCTCCGTATGGAGCCACTGGAAGAGGTGCTGGAGCGTTTGGGGGCTGCCTCCATGCTGTGGTGCCGCTGGAGAGGGTGGCTGTAGCTTTCCTTGTAGACGGGCGAGAGGAATCCGTGCTTGCTGGGGATCTGCTCTGATAAGAGCACCAGCTGAGGCTCCACCGTGGAGACTGCCCCTGATTTCACCCCTTGGAAGGAGGTGGACTCAGATTTCAAGGCATCGATGCAGTTGTTGATGATCTGGTTCACCTTGTCCACCTCCTTGGCAATGGTGGAGATCTCGGCCACGGAGCTCTGGGTGTCTGGCGGCAGGGACAGCTCACAGTCTCGCCTCTCGGGCTGCTCGCCTGTCCTCACCTCCATGTAGTTGCCCTTGGTGGCCTTGGGGGTCTCGCTGCTGTCAATCAGCTTGTACTGCTCGACCTCACCAGCAGAAGGCAGGTAGGGGATGCGGGTCACGGTCTCCCCACCCAGCATCTGTCCCTGGGACAGCTGGGTGATGCTGGTGGTCTCCATTTCTGGCCCATATTTCAGCTCAATGATGGTCTTCTTCATGCTGCCGGCAGCCTTTTTGTGCTTCTCCTCCTGCTGGCGCCTCTTTCGGAGACAGTAATACACAACACCCAGGACAATCACCATGCCAAAGAGACAGCCCAGGATTGTCATGATGTAATGAGTGGCAGTGGAAGGGGTGGGCACTGGCTCCTTGCGGTTGGGTCTGGTGGGTGTGATGGTGACACAGGTGTGGTTGTACTTGGAGTACTGGTGGACAGAGACTACACAGTAGGTGTAATCTCTTTGTGCTACTAGGTTGCTCACGGTGATGTTCTCCTCCTTCTTCCTGAGCTTGGTGATCATGGAGGAGAAGCCGTTTTCGAATTGGGAGAGGATGTACATCTTGCTGAAGGGGTAGGGGATCTGCACGGTGAGGACGGCCGAGTTATGGTTGAGGTGCTTCACCTGGATGTTAGGACGCACCTCCGTCTCGCCGATGGGTGTGAAGAGGGAGAACTGCGGGGTCGTGCCATCACCGGAGGAGCACTCCTCATCGGAGCAGGGGCTTTCGGAGGGTGCTGTGGTCACCTGGTACCTGGGAGGGATAAAACGAGGGATCACAGTGTAGGAGCCACCAGTGCAAAGGGAAGAGAGCATGCTCAGAGCATTGCGGTAGCCAGTCCGGCCTTGGCCTAACAAGTAGTAGCCCATGTAGTCAGGTGGGGAGTCGCACTGCATCCGGTCATACGTGCGTGTCATGTTGGTGAAAGCCTCCAGCCATTGCAGGAAACCGAGGAGCTCACAGGAGCAATAGAAGGGGTTACTGTAGAGTTCACAGACAGAGAGCTTGTTTAGGCCCCGAAAAGTGTTGCTGTCGAGTCTCTGGATCCTGTTCATGGACAGGTCAATGTTCACTATGTTGGGGCACTCCCAGAAGGCATTGGGGGTGACGGACTCAATGAGGTTGGCCTGGAGATAGAGGTACTCCAGCTTCCCCAGGCCCCGGAGGATGCCCTCGGTGAGGTTCCTCAGTCGGTTGTAACCCAGCTGCAGCACCTGGAGGTTGAACTGTCCTGAAAAGGCACCGTCCTCGATGTAGGAGATCTCGTTCTTCGTCAGGTTGAGGTATGTCAGGTTGCCGAAGCGGCTGAGCGAGGCATACTGCACGCTCTTGATCTTGTTGTCGTTCAGCCGCAAGTCCACAATGGTGCTGTTGATTTGCTGGGGGATGGACTCGTAGGGGGGCTGGTTTTGGCTGCAGATGGCCAACCAGACGAAGCCCTTGTCCCCCTCGATGAGCCAGCAGTCTGCCCGCACCCCGCTGGTGTGCAGGAGAGAGACGGCAGCCACGCACACGCAGAGGGCTGACGTCGCGGCCCACCGGCGACCTGCCATCTGGAAGGGCGGCACAGAGAAGGGGTTCCTGGTCTGCCAGAAGCGGGGAGTGGGACAGGGGCTGGGAAGACGTGGGCTAGTGCTTCTTCAGCAGCTTCGCTCGCCTCTCCCTTCTCCTCATGGCTTGGAGACGGGGGGGAAACATCCGTGGAGAAAGAGGACCTCAGTGGCCACGGTATGTGGCAGCCACCGGCCAGGGGCTACTACCAAGGCCTGGGTGGCTGAGGCTGGTCCCACATCACCAGGTCTCTGGCATCTCGGGGAGGGAGTCATGAAGTTAGGTGCCCGTGTGGAGGAGTCCCTCTGGCTTAGAGACAAGCCTTCCTCTCACTTTTTATAGTACATCTCCTCATTCTCTTTTTGCTGCCCATTGTGACACTGGTCCCCATCTCCACGTGCCTCCGTGGGTCTGGATGTCCCCGCTCAGTCCCTCGGCTCACCTGCTCAAAACAAAACACAAGCACAAACTAAACACAAAGGAAAGACAGATAGCATTTAGAGGTGTTGGAAATACGTCCAACTCCCCTCTTAGTGTTAGGCACTGGTCTTCTAACTCTGGCCACCACCTTTCAAGGACCCTTTGGTTTATTTGGGCACTGCCGCCAGCAGCATTTGGCAGCACGAGGGAAGGTGGTCACTGACGATGGAGGTCACCTTCCTTTGTCCAGTGTCACGTTATAAGCAGGGGAGAGACCAACGCACATCCAGGGCACCGTTTGTCTGACCTATTTAGGCGTCTACCTTTGGAGGAGAGGAGTGATGCCCCAGAAGTGTCTGTTCCTCTTCACTGAGAGCAGATGAAGTCTAGACAACTCGCTCTGATGTAGATTTGAAGCTGCAGCGTTTTGCTGAGGGGAATCCTAACTGTCTCGCGTGCTGGTGTGCGCAGCGGCGGTGCCCACAGAGGGGGATGCTGACTGAGGACACCGTGTCTCTCTGACTGCATTGCTGCGTAGTGTCTAGGATAAAGCCCAGCATCAACCACCTGGGAACCTCAGCAGTAGTTTCAGGGCATTCTTTGACTACAATACATGCCAGCATCATTGTCCACCATCCAATGTCCTTGTCTGTGGTTGAGGCTTGCTGCCTGTCTCCAAGACCCTTCTCTCCCTCCCGGGTGAAATGATGCAGAGGTGGGGAGGATCCTCAACCATTCAGTGGCATAACAAGAGTATTTGCAGAAGACAGGACAAGACCTTCCCTCCTCAGCCAGAAACAGCTCTTTGAAGACCAGCAAGAGTCTCCACTAGACACAAACCAACAGAGAAAGAAAGTCATGGGGCTGCCAGCAGCCTCACTTCCCACAGAAAAACTGTCATTCCTGGCTCACATTTTCCATTATTTTTTCCTGCATTTTGGACTAAATATAACTATCCATGGACAGCACTTCTACTTCCTTTTGTAATTTCTTAGGGAAACAGGAAAGCCAAAGTGGAGAGGAGGGAACTGCACAAGCATCGGCACCTCCTGGGTCTTGCTTTTCCACAAGATGTTGAAAATATCATCCGTGGACATCTCTACTGTCAAAAAGCTCTCCGAGTTGGTAGGATACCTGCAGTGAGGTGTTGTGGCAGGGATGGAGTTGCCCACAAATGGGGAGAAAACATTGTGGCCTATCTAGAAAAATCCTTCTGGGGACTTCTACTGGGAACGGGAGCTCTGGTTGTCTCCTTTGTCCCAGGGCAGACCGTCAGAGGTAGGGAAGACACCACCAGCACTCCTTGAAAACACAGCTGGTAGGAACTGGGTGTTCCTTGGGCATCCATGAAGGAGACAGGGGCACATCTTTTATCTAAACTGTCTTTCACTGGATCTGCAGAACAGTATAAATCCCGAAATTGGTTTCCAAACCATTTCCCAGCGCCCAGGCAGTGAAGAGACGGTGCTGGGTGCTGCATGCCTGAAAATCACATGAGGCTGATTGCCAAGGCGCATTCAGAGGCAGATGCCATACCCTCCCCCTTGTCCTGAAGAAACCGGGTTCTTTTCCACCCATGACACCAGGTGATGAAGCAGACCGCGTTTCACTGCAGAGATCCCTGTTAGCCATTCACAGTTTATACCTCGGTAAACAGGCCAGTGATAATAAGCAGTAAAACAGTTTATTTGTTCTTTCTGGATTGTGAACAATGACTCTATTCCCTGGTGGCACAGTTGGGTTTCCATTACATGAATAACGAGATCTGCTCTCGCGTCAGCTCTCTGCACATGAGACACTCTGGCTACCTTGTCCTCTGGCAGATGCCCCACCATCTGCTAGGGGAGACAAGGTTGTAGGGGAAGCCAACAGCCAGACACCGAGTGCCTGCCCCGAGGGCAGGGTATGCAGTACACCCTTCTTGTGGACTGTACCGTCTGCGGTGGGTGCGCAGGCGTGTGTGGGTGAGACGTACTGGCCCTGAGATGATGCTCCTGTGGGCCTTTGCCTGCGTACTTGCGGGTGTCTCTGCCTCCCCGGTGCCTGGTGCTGTCCTGTCCCAGCTACATTTGGCAGAAAGCTCAACAAACCCTCCAGGTTTTCAAAAGTTTACTAGAAATGGGGCTTGGGTGGAAGGGATGCTGGGGGCAAGGCAGCTGAATCTCAGGTCTCCTCCTTCCCAGGGTTAGAAACCTGGACTTTAGCACGCTTTTACATCGCTGTTCCAGCTGAAGCCCTCCTATCACCGCAGGGGTACTGATACTGCGGGTAACCCCCGCTTTGGGGAGTAGGACCTGCCGCGCTAGCGGGAGCACGTTTGCAAGGATGCACTGTCCCTTCCCTGGGATGCTTTGCCAGCACCTGGCAGCCCGTTTTGGCGTAGCTGAGCCCTTGGAGCCAGCGGGGAAGGGAAGAGGCACCGCGGTCCCTGGGGCGCTGCAGGTGAGTGCCCCCCTTTGCGTCCCCAGCTGTCGGGGAGGAAGGGGCTGCGGTGCCAGGCTGAGCGCCGGCTGCTGCTACGTCCCTCCCGGCACCGGGCAACTCAATTAACCTCTCTGCGCTCCAGTGTCCTCTCCGGTACTGCGAGATAATGATAGCGCTTCACGGGGCTGTGGGAGACTGAAGGAAAGTGCCCCGAGCTCCTCTTGTTGGGATGAAAACCCCGGCAGTTGTGCCGCAGGTACAGAATTTCTCTCCCTCTGGTTGCAAGCTCGGTTCTACATAAGCCCACTTTCCTCTGCCATGGGGACCAGCCTGGTCTCCAGCTCCTCAGCCTTCCTCCCAACCGGGGTGCACGTTGTCCCTAAGGGTGTGGGAGAAGGGCAGCCATGGGTAGCCCCTGGCCTGCAGAGCTGTCAGCAATGGGTTGCCCCAGTTGTCCCATGGGGATGGCGTGGAGGGTGCTCTCCTCGCCTGCTGCCCCGCCGTGCCTGCCCTGGGTATGAACATCTCCCTGCCCTCCTCCAGGGGCTTGAGCATTACGGGGAGCTCCTGCGGGCAGGGGAGGCCCTGCGAATTGAGACAGCAGAGGCGGCAGGGAGTGAGGCATGTTGGCATATTCCCTTTAGCAAGCACTTAGCCTGTCTCCTCTAACCCCCACTCTGACCCAGCCATCCTCTCTGGGCCAGCTTGTGTTCGGGATGGCTCTGCAGAGCCAGACCAGCTTTTTCCTCGCAGGGAGAGGTTTCTTGTCACTCCTCCCTGGGGAGGCTGTGGGCTGCAGCCTGTGTCCGAGGGCATTAACCAGTGGAGCGGGACCATCCCGTGAGCAAAGAGCAGAGGCAGACCTTGCCAGGCCGATCCCCTATAGCCTTCTCATCACCTATGTGCCTCCCTCATCAAATTGGAGGTGTCGAAGGAGAGCAATGGTAAATGACTCAAACACGTTCAATAAGGCTCCTGCTGTGTGTTTTCTCTTCTTTCCTGCGCGTTGCCTATCAGGCGAGCCCTTCCCAACAACAGAAAGCAGAAAAGGCATTTTATCAGCAGCCCAAGTTTAATTTCAGCTCATTAAAGCAAGCAATTTGCTGGTTTATTTGCTTTGCAAAGTGTGAATAAAATGACAGCATTAAGGAGATGTAAGAGAGGAAAGAGGGGCTAATCTCCCTTTTTATTAGATTGCCAGGACATGACTGGGGAGTGGAGAAGTGGGTCTTGTTGCTTTGCACGGAAGGGATAATTGTTCATCTTGTTGGCTTCTGAAAGCCTCCTTTCCCGGCATCACGCTGAGGTGGGTGTGCGTGGGTGTACCCCCCGGCGCGCGCTGCGACATCAGCCCAGCGCCGAGCATCCCACACGGCGGGACGGGAACGGGGCGCTCGCAGGGCTTCCCCACTCACCTCCCTGTAACAGCAGACATCCAGGAGGTTCCTCCTTCTTCCCTTTTCTACCTTTTTCCTTCCCTTCTAATCTCCCTTTCCTGTTCATTTCTGCCTCTGAAATCCTGGGCTAGACTCTTGCAGGTCAGCAATAGAGCAGCCGGTCGGCCGAGGAGCCTTTGCTGTCCCCGACCTCCTGCAGCTGGGTCGTGGCTCTGGAGAGCAGGGGAGAGACCCCCCCGGCCTCTTCTCCACAGACTGGATAAAAACCAGTAAGAAAACCTAGTGTTTTAACCCTCCTGCCTGACCGCTTTGTCTTTGCCCAGCTGTCCTGGTTTTATTCTGGTAACCCAAGCGCACACCACTTTTCCCAGTCCTCCGCAGGGGAACAAACCACCTGCAACTCTAACGTGAGAAACAACCACAAAAGTGAAGATTTGGGGTTCTCCTCCTTCAGAGGAATGCAGACGGCATGCAGTAACAACAGCAATGATTTGAAATGATGAATTTCATCTCAGTCAGAGATATCCGGAACTAGGGTACCATGCTGACGATGACAGCGTCCATGGGGAGGCCACGGTACTCACCCAGTACCTTGCAGGAAATACCATTCCTGCACAGAGTTACCTGCGCACTGCAGACACTGCCGTATTTCCCTTTCCTCCTGCTTTCACAAGGCAGTATGCTTTGGCCAGCTCAGAAGATGTCGGGCTTATGTGGCTTACAGAGGCCAGCAAAGGGGCAAGGACATCTCCCTCACTCCT